TGGATGGATGATGGATGCATAGATGGATAGATAGATAGAGATGATGGATGCATAGATGGATACATACATACATACATATATATACATACATATATATAGTTGATGGATGCATAGATGGATGGATGGATGGATGGATGGATGGATGGATGGATGGATGGATGACAGATAGGTAGGTAGGTGGGTGAGTGGATGGATGATGGATGCAGAGATGGATGGATAGATAGATAGATAGATAGATAGATAGATAGATAGATAGATAGATGATGGACGGATAGATATATATAGTTCAAGGTAATGAAACTGAGTTGCCTTCCTTTCATGGCACACTTCTGTTTTTCAGTCAAACATAAGTTGCTTTCCATAGCCCTCTTGCTGGAATCTGTACAGGTAGTCCTTGACTTACAACAGTTTGTTCAGTGACCATTGTTTAGTGTCCATTCAAAGTTACAATGGCACTGAAAAAAGTGACATGGCTATTTTTCACACTTATTTTTCACACCATTGCAGCATCCACGTGGTCATATGATCAAAATCCAAACGCTTGGCACCTGACTCATCTTTATGACAGTTGCAGTGTCCCGAGATCATGTGATCACTTTTTGCAGTCTTCTGATGTGCAAAATCAATGGGAGAAGCCAGATTCACTTAACGACCCTGTTACTAACATAACCACTGAAGGGACTCACTTAACAACTATGGCAAGAAAGGTCATAAAATGAGACAAAATTCACTCAATAAATGTTTTCACTTAGCAACAGAGATTTTGGGCTCAATTGTGGTTGTAAGTCGAGGACTACCTAATACTGTCTGCTGTCTTGCTAAGGGACTACAGGTAATCCTTGACTTTTGACCATAATTGAGCTGCAATTAGAATTGTAAATTGGGACAATCATTAAGAAAGTTGTCACATGACCGCACCCAATCTTACAACCTTTCTTGTGGTGGTTGTTAAACGAACACCATAGTCATGAAGCAAATGCTATGGTTGTTAAAAAGGGGACGTAGTAGCTCAGTGGCTAAGACGCTGAGCTTGTCGATCAGAAAGGTTGGCAGTTCGGCAGTTCGAATCCCTAGCATTGCGTAACGGAGTGAGCTCCCGTTACTTGTCCCAGCTTCTGCCAACCTAGCAGTTTGAAAGCATTTAAAAATGCAAGTAGAAAAATAGGGACCACTTTGGTGGGAAGGTAACAGTGTTCCGTGTGCCTTTGGCATTTAGTCATGCCAGCCACATGACCACGGAGACGTCTTTGGACAGTGCTGGTTCTTCAGCTTTGTAACAGAGATGAGCACCACCCCCTAGAGCCAGAAACAATTTGCACGTATGTGCGAGGGGAACCTTTACTTTTGTTAAGCAAACTCTTTGTTCTCCATGGGTGTTTGTTGCTGGAAATCACGACCCATAGCAGCCATAAACACAGGCTCATTGCTCAGGGCTCAAAATACACTCACATGACCACAGGGTAGCTCCCACCATAGGAGGTTCGAATCTGAATAACTATCTTTTCAGGGTTCATAGAAACATCAAATCACAGGGCAGGAAGGGACCTTGGAGGTCTTCTAGTCCAACCCCCTGCCCAAAACGGTTGCTAAGCAACCAGTCATAAATTAAGGACTACCTATATACAGATATTCTCTCCCTTAAGGAATAGAGAACAATGAATGGGTTGCTAGGCACTTCCTGATAACCAGCAGATTTGTTGGCTGCAGTAATTTCCTATAATCAAACAGACAATAATTGTGAAATTCACTGCCAACAAGACCAATTCAGGAATGGATGCCCAAGAACAAAGAAGCACGCAATGTACATTGGTTGCCAGGTAATACAGTACTACTTTCTACTCATTCAGTCACTCAACATCTGGGTGTGTTCGAAAATCCTACATGAGAAACTTTGATGAAATGGCAGAAAATGTCATTCTCCTCTGTACTGTACTTTCTATTCATAGAGTCTGAAGGTACATCGAGAGGGAAACTTGTAGCAGCTTTTGCAATGTATTTTTAATGCCAGACTATATTTAGAACTTCCACAAAAGATTTGTGCATTCTCTTGGGGAATGAATGACCGAACGAATGAATCCCTTTCTGAAAATTGTCTTTAGGCAGCACTTCTTGTTCCTGGCATAGAAAGATGTAATGTGGCTGATGATCAGAAACTTTTGGCTCAGCATTCGTTCCAAATTGCTTGTATTAGGACCTTGTCCCTTCTAAATAAACACCAAGTCCCATTTTTAACTGTGTGTGTTGAGAGTCTGCAGACCGAGCACCGTATTAATACTGAGGAGGAGGATTGCAAAATCCTTGCCTTCCATTCAGTTTGTGTGCAATTTGCTTCGGTGTGATACAGTAGGAATCTTCCTCATTTGTAACATTGTGATACATTCAGCCTATCTTCCAACTGAATCTCAAGCCCAAGCTGATCAGACATAATCCACTGTTTCATAAAACCACAGAACTTATAGATTTATGAGAGATCCTTTACTCCAGTCCAGACTAATCATTCACCAAATTATTCCTGACAAATAACCATCCAGCTATATTTGAAAACTTCAGGAGAGATGGAATCAACCCTCACTCTAGATAAACCATTCTACTGATTCAAATTCCTATGATCAGGGCTTCCCTCTTGCTATTTAACATGAATCTGATTTTCTTTTATTTCAACCCATTGATTCTTGTCTTGCAAGAACTCCCTCTTGTAAAAGGAGAATTCCGTCTGGTGTAGTCTCTTACATGTATCTTAGTCATCTAATTTGCAAAGCTAAAACACATCTAAGTCTTCGTAAGGTTTGGTTTCCAGTTTCCTTAGTATTACAGTAGCTCTGAACTAACTCCATAACCCCACTTAATGCCACAACTGGATACAACATTCCAAGTGTTGTCTAGCGGGTAGAGTAGAGAGTACTGCAACACTATTGCCTCCTGTGATTCGAACGCAATGCATTCATTAATGTAGACTAAGACTGCATTGGCTTTTTTAGCTGCTGCATCACACTGCTTTCTCCCATTTAGATGGTGATCCAGTAAATTTCCAAGAACCTTCTCATACCCTCTATTGCCCAGCCAAGTCTCCTCTGTCTATGTGTTTAATTTTGCTTATCCAGACAACAATACACTTGTCATAGCAGAACCTTACACTTCTAGCTTGGCTCAATTACTAAGCCTGTCAAGAAAAGTTTGAATGTGTCCTCCGAGGTATTAGCCAACTCACACATTCCTTATTAAGCTAAATGCAAATATTATTAAGCTAAATGGCAAATCACTGTCCAGCAAAGGGTAGGACTTAATGATGATGCTCATTCTTGGACTGTATCCAAAATATGGTTATAATTCAATCAAAGCTGTTATGAGAGGTGATAAAAAAAGTTGCAGGACCCATCCCCCATAGCATCTTCTCACTGCTAGTCAGGATTCAGTAGCCCAGATAGCATTGGTGAGCAAATCAGTCTGGCTGCAGTACAGCATCACAGTAACTCTGTGTTTAAATATTTGGTCGAGACAGAGAAGATGTAAGAGGGAACTTACCTTTCTCGTCAGCCTCTGCTTGATCTCTCTCCTTTCCTCTTGTTCTGTTTGATCATTCCTTTCTGCAGAAAATATGAAGAGAGAGATGACTTTCCTCATCAAGACCAACTTTGCTGCCCTGTCTTTGCTTTTACACCACTCAGTTGGTATTCCGCCAGAAGCATCACATACTCCTTAGCATGAGGGTTACACGGATGCCAATGTCAGCTCTCCTCGCTGGTGGCCAATTAAACCGGACTTCAACAAATGTGGATCAGCCAGCCCCGTTCCTCCATCAGGACAATGAGGAGTGTTTTCAGAGGGAAAATCAATAGACTTTTAGAAGTCTAAATGATCGTTTTGTGATGCCACATCTCTCTCTGAGTCATCCGTGCTGCCCTTACGAGCTGGAACATTGTAGAGAAGCTGCTTCAGGGAACACACGTTCCTTGTACACTTACTCGGCTAGGCTCCTGTAATTTTGTTGATTAATTTATAACAATAGCCAGCAATCTACGCCCACGCATTCCTTTGCCTTCTAATATTCTGATGATGCCAATCTTATTATAGATTCTTCCTACATTGGGCAGAGAGGGCGGGGGAAGAAGGGATTCCTTGTCTAGAAATGAAATCGTTTCTTAAAGAGATACTACTCTCTGCAAATCCCTTCCCTTTTTTTTTATACACCGAAACTGTTAGCATTCAAGCTTGATCATGTTCACACAGTGGGGCTAAAAATAAGCATGGCTGCAGCTGCGGTAACGCTGCATGAAATATAGCCTTAGTCTTCAGATATGAGTTAATGGATTCACTATATCAAGGGCTGCCTGTTGCTAAATTAAGCTACGCACGTGTGACCTGGGGGAAAAAAAACACCAGGTTTTTAAAACCATTTTAGAAGGGAAGGAAGGAAGGAAGGAAGGAAGGAAGGAAGGAAGGAAGGAAGGAAGGAAGGAAGGAAGGAAGGAAGGAAGGAAGGAAGGAAGGAAAATATGGGGGGAAGAAGGAAGGAAAGAAGGGAGGGAGGGAGGGAGGGGAACACAGGAAGGGGGAAGGAAGGGAGGGGGAAGGAAAGAAGGAAGGAAGGAAGAGGAATACTGAGAAGTGGGGAAGGGATGGATGGAAGGAAGGAAGGAAGGAAGGAAGGAAGGAAGGAAGGAAGG